GGCAGCTTAAAAAAGACCGTACGCAAACAGCATCGTGATGAACCCAACTGCCAATGATGGCCTGAACGGGGAAACCCCGTTGCCCTCCTCAGTACCAACTATAGCATGAACAATCTTCTGCCACTCCTCTCCCCTGAAAATCCAAACAGAGCACAGTACATTGATAAATTATCTGCATGGGAGCAAATGCTGCATATGCACATATGCGCGTCACACTTATGCTAAGTTGCTGATGCACTTTGCGTCCTATACAGCCAAATCCGTGGACTTGGGGTGTAGTCCCACTTGAATGGCCCCGCCCCAGTAGTCAGCGCCTTCGGATTCGTCAAGCATATAACGGCAGTAGTTGTTTGAGTTCCATCGGCCCTTCGTTGCCTTTCGAGAAGGCGGGGGAAGCAAACCCGCTTGCTGTTGTGCAGGTGACAAAGGCACAGCTGGCTACGGGGCTCGTTTTAGGGTTGGAGATGGCAACAAAGGAAACGGCCCGTTCGGTGTAGACATCAGGGTCATTCAAAGCTGTGTACGTTGGAGGTAACTTGCCATTGAAGAGCGAAAACCGTCCTTCCAATACTGCACTGCCGCTTTGCAGTCCTTCTTGCCGGGATAGTACGCGAATGTTCCTTCTAACTGCTCGGCTTCAGTGCTATCGCCTCCTTTCTTCACATAATATAATGCAAAACAAGACAAGCCTGGCATCTCTTGCTACATGCGCCGTCATCTACAACACGTTGATTGCCTAAATAAACCGCCGACTGCAATGCGCTTGTAAAGAGACTAACCGTTGTTATTATTGTGCATATTTCGTTCCATAAGTTGGTAGCGTTTGCAGCTTTCTGCAAAGCGGAGCTTTGTGGCAGTTTTTGCTTATCATTAGAAGCCTCCTCAAAACTGGGCGAATCCAGCTGCTCTCCTGGCCTCATTCATGTCGGCCAAGCAATCAAGCGTCTCTAAAAGGAAGTTCCAACACTCTCAGGAATATTTTGAATAAAGGGAGCCCTCTATTTTGAAATAGGATGTGTGTTGCCCCTGAAACAACGAAAAGACAGGAGTAAATTGCATACCTGCTGTTCCAGTTGTGCTGGCATTTGCTACCTCGTGTCCATAGAAAACGGACACAACTGCGAGCGCACTACGAACGAAATGAAGCATCATTGACCACTAAAATGATAACATATAAAGGGAGGGTAAAAGAAATATCCTCTGGAGGAGTTGGTGAGCACTCCTCGCTTGTCGATGAATGGGCGGAGGGCACCTGGGGGCTGAGTCCTCGCGGCTGCGTTTCCCGACTGCAAATTTTCCCCTTCATACGCTTTTTCATGACAATAGAAGCTATGCAACAATATAATTGTTTTGTTAGTAACTGTGCTGCACATGGTTTCGCCCCTCGTGACCTATGCCGTGTGGCGTCAAGGTTCTGTTGATCTGGGTCACCCCATTGCCACATAGATCTACAGCGACTACTGCACAGCCAGACCACAGAGCATCTTCTTAAAAGCCCTGACTATACCGACCTGCAGTAAATTGCGTGTGTTTTTGCATTGACGTACCAGAGAGCAACAGACGCCGCATAGCACGAGTGTACGTCTGGAGTGCGTTACACGCCGGCGGGTGAAACTGACGCAAGCGTGAATGCCCACTAAAACATTTACTTTGCACATTCTCCTTTCGAGACAAACTATAAACAATGGCTTAGCGGGAAAACAAGCCCAAGTTCGAATTGTTTCCGGTTAAGCGACGTCGGCAGCCCATAGACGCTTAATGCTCAAGAAAACCAGGACAGGATACTTCTCTGCACGAGTAAACTTCAAGTGTCTTCAAAATGTTCGAATTAAACTCTTCCTTGGCAATAAGGAAGCAGAGGCATGCAGCGACACAAGGCTCCTCCTTCAAAGCTACCTCGGGAAGTGTCCTAGATTGATGAGGCTCAGCCTAGCCAGAGAAGCGGCCACGGTATACACGAGCGGCACGTCACCAATATCGCTAGACAGAGCTAAACATAGGCAAGGTATCGGCAGCAATCCCGAATATACGTAGCACTAGAGTCCATAAATACGTCTGGAGAATATTGAAAATGGAACCTAGCAGCAAATGGCGTGCACCGCCAGCACCTGCTCGTGGCACCACTCTGCATGGACTAAAAATTGTCCATCTTCTGCACTCCTCAATGAAAACGATAAAACACCAAGAGAAACATCTCGTTCCCTTGCGCTGGAATATTAGTTCGGTGAGAAGACCAAGAATAAGCCTGCGCACTGCCCGTGCCCGCATCCTGGACACAATCTGAGAGCTTAAAAAAGAGTGTAAGCGAAAAGCATCATTATAAACCCCATTGTAAGGGACGGCCTAACCGGGGAAGCCCCGGTGCCCTCCTCAGTACCAACTATTGCATGAACAATCTTCTGCCATTCATCTTCCCTGCAAGCCCAACCATAGCACAATACACACGATCACTCAGCTCCATGAAAACAAGTGCTACATATAAAAGTCACACTCGCGCTAAGTTTCCGATGCGCTTTGGGCCTTATGAAGCCACGCCGGTGGTCTGGGGGTGTATTCTCACTTGAATGGCGCCGCATCAGTAGTCAGCGCCTTAGGATTCGTCAAGCAGATGATGGCAGTAGAAGGCTCCTCTTCACCTTGAAGCCTCCTTAATGACCGCCCTTCGTCGCTTCTTGACAGGGCTGACGCAGCAAACCCGCTTGCTGTTGTGCAGGTGACAAAGGCACAGCTGGCTACAGGGCTCGTTTTGGGGTTGTACAGGGCAACAAAGGAGACGGCCCTGTTGTTATAGACTTCAGACTGGTTCGAAGCTGTGTACGTTGGGGGCAGCGTGTTATTGAAGAGCGAAAAACCTTCCTTCCAATACTGCACTGCCGCTTTGCAGTCCTTGCTGCCGGCATAGTACGCGAAGGTTCCCTCTAATTTTTTTGCTTCAGCGCTGTCTTCTTCTTCCTTCACATAACAGAATACAAAACAAGACAAACGTGCCATCTCTTGCTACATGCGCCGTCGTCTTGAAGACGCTGACTGGCTAAATATACTCCCAACAGAGGTGCGCTTGTGAAGAGACTAACCGCTGTTATTATTTTGCAGATTTCGTTCCATAAAGTTGTGGCGTTCGCGGTTTCTTTCAGAGTGGGGCTCGGCGGCAGCTTTTGCTTTTCACTAGATGGCTCCCCAAACTTGGCGAATCCAGCGGCTGTCCTGGCCTCGTTCATGTCGGCCAAACAATCAAGCGCCTCTGAAGAGAAGCTACAACACACACAGGAATATTTTGAATAAAAGGAGCCCTCTATTTTGAAATAGGAAGTGTGTTGACCCTGGAACAACGAAAAGACAGGAGTAAATTGCATACCTGCTGTTCCAGTTGTGCTGGCACTTGCTGCCTCGTGTCCATAGAAAACGGACACAACTGCGAGCGCAATACGAACGAAATGAAGCATCGTTGACCGCTGAAATAATATCATACAAAGGGAGTGTTAAAGAAACATCTTCTGGAGGCGTTGGTGAGCCCTGTTCCCTTGTCGACTAAAGGGTCTAGGGCACCTGGGGGCTGAGTCCTCGCTGCTGCGTTTCCTGACTGCAAACTTTCCCCTTCATACGTTTTTTCAGGACCGTGCAAACTGAGTAACAATATAAATTGTTTCGTTAGTAGCTGTGCTGCACATGGTTTTGCCCTCGTGATCTACGCCGCCTGCCGTACAAGGTTCTGTTGATCTGGGTCACCGCTTCACCCCTAAAGATCTACTGCGGCCATAACGCGGCCAAAGCACAAAAAACTTTCCTAAGAAACCTAGCTATGCTGGCCTTCAGTAAAGTTTTTGCTTCCTTGGATTGACGTACCGGAGAGTAACAGACGCCACACAGCACGGGTGTATGTATGTCTCGAGCGCGTTAGACAATGGCGGGTCAAATTGATGCATGCGCAGATGTTCCCCAAAACGTTTAGTTTACGCATTTTATCTTTTCGAGACACTACGAAGAGTAAAGCGGTGGGGGAATAGACCCATGCTCGAATTTTTTCCGGCTAAGCGACGGCGTCGGCAGCCCGTGGACGCTCAATGCGTGAGGAATCCAGGAAGGGAAACTTATCTAAACGAGTAGATTCAGAATTTCTTCAAGACATCCCTATTAAACGCTTCCATAACAATCAGAACACAGAGACAGGGAACGTTACAAGCCATTCGCTTAAAGTGACCATGGGAAGTGACCCGGTGCGAGGAGACGGGACCTGGCGAAACAAGCAGCCACGATATACGCCACCAGTACATCACCAGTATCGCTAGACGCACCTAAACACAGGCTATGTATCGGCAACAATTTCGAGGATACTTGGGACTAGAGGCCACAAACAAGTCCCCAGAATAGCGAAAGTGGAACATGATAGCTCATGGCGTGCATCTTCAGCACCTGCTCGTGGCATATCTCTGCAGGATCTAAAAAGCGTTTATCTTCTGCGCTCCTCAAAACAGGTAATAAAAGACCTGAAATCGCCTTGCTGCTGCTCGCTGGATTATTACTTCGATGAGATAGCCAACAGCATTCCCGTCCGTCACTGCACAGAAGCTAGAAACCTAAAAGAGACCGTACGCAAAAAGCATCATGATAAACCCAACTGCCAATGATGGCCTAACGGGAGGAACTCCATTGCCCTCCTCAGTACCAACTATAGCATCAACAATCTTCTGCCACTCATCTTCCCTGAAAATCCAGACACAGCACAGGGCCTTGATCAATTAGTTGCATGGGAGCAAGCGCTGCATGTGCACATTACACTTATGCTACGTTTCCGATGCACATTGGATCTTAAGCAGCCAAATCCGTGGCTTTGGCTTTGATGCGTTTTCTCACTGGAATGGCGCCGCTCCAGCAGTTAGCGCCTTCGGATTCGTCAAGCATATAACGGCAGTAGCAGTTGTTTCTAATTCCTGGAGTCTCCTTAACGTCCGCCCTTCGTGGCTTTTTGATAGGTCTGCAGCAGCGAACGCGCCTCCTTCTGTACAGGTGACAAAGGCGCAGCTGGCTACGGGGCTCGCCTTGGGGTTATAGAGGGCGACAAAGGACACAGCCTGGTCGGTGTATATTGGGGGGTCATTCAATGCTGTGAATGTTGGGGGCAGTTCGTTTTTGAAGAGCGAAAACCCGTCTTTCCAGTACTGCACTGCCGCTTTGCAGTCTTTTTTGCCGGAGTAGTACGCGAAGGTTCCCTCTAACTGGTTGGCTTGAGTGGTAGCACCATCATCCTTCACATAACAGAATAAAAAGCAAGACAAACCTGGCATCTCACCCTGATGCCCCATAGCCTGCAAGACATTGTTTTCACAATGTGTCCCAGAACTCGTGACTACAGTGTGCCGATCACGGGACTTACCCCTGCTATTTTTTTACAGATCTCGGTCCACAAAGTTGAAGCTGTTATCGCTCTTCCAGAACCAGGGTGTTCCGGAAGCACTTGTGTTTCTTCAGATGCCTGCGTAAACTCAGGCAGTCCTGCAGCTTTCCTCTCCTCATTCATCTCCTTGAAGCAATCAATCGTTTCTGAGGAGAAACTTCAATATACACAAACTACAACTGCAATGCAAAATATTACAGCGTTGTAGGTTCAACAGCGCTTTTGGGGAAGGAGAGAGCAATATGCTTGCCTGCTGTTCCCGTTGTGCTAGCGCTTGCTGTCTTGTGTCCACAGAGCACAGGCACGAGAACAAGTGGAAAAAAAACGGCACGAACCATCTTCGGTACAAAAAGTGCTATAGTAAAAAGGAAAGAAGGAATTAGAAAGGGGTTGGTGAACTTTATATCTGTCTGGACACTGGGACGAATGGCCACGAGGGGGACATCTGTGGGCCGGGTTCGAGCGGCTGGGTTTGTTGCTGATATCTTTATTTTCTTATCCAAATCCGTTTTTGAAACCATTCATGTTAAACAAAAAATTGTAGACAAATTCTAGAAGCAGTGCTAGGGGCGGATTTCTGCCCTTCGTGATCTCCACCACGTGCGTTGCAGGTTCTGCAGTTCTGCGGTGCCGCATCACCCACTAAAGAATATGATCTACGCCACCCAGTGCATGTACAACGAACAGAAACCTTTTTTTCTTGAAACGTGACTCACAGATATCTCTTGAATTGCTTGTTCACCTGTTCGAATTTCTTTATCAGAGAACAAGAGCCATCGCAAGTCACGAATTTGTCCCTCCATTGCACTACACTCCAAATTCGTCGTGAAACAAGTATTGATCAACCAACATCTGAAAACACGTTCCATTGTTTAAGAGAACGAAAAATAGGAGAACAAGAGATGAAAAGACTACTGATCGGTCTTTTCCCCTTCAAATCGGCATTGCAGCACCTTGGCGCCTCGCGGCGGGACGCAGCCGAGACAGGATATTACTACTCGGCATTAGGCTCATAATACCTGTAATTCGTTTCGTTTGTGCTTTTCTCTAACCAATTAAGAAGCAAAAATGTATCATGACAGAAGGCTGCCCTTGTGAAGTGACCCGGCCTGAGGATGTCCAACCTTCCCTGACAGGGAGCCACGGTATAGGCCACCACTAGATCACCGGCACGACTACACACAATAGGATTTAGGCAGGGTCTTGAAGCAAGATAAAAACATGTTAGCCCTAATAGGCATGCGTAAGTCTGGAAGGCATGAAAAGTGGAACCTGGCAGACATTGTGCGCATCGCGAGCACATGCTCGCGGCACCCCGATAAAGTGGGTATAAAAAGGTTCCTTTCCATCGCTCTTCAATACGAACGATAAAACATTAGGAGGGCTTTACTGAAGTTCGCACGCTGGATTATTTTTTGGATAAAATGGGCATTGACATGTCCATTCAGTGCCCTTGCACTGCACAGAGGCCTGCAGCTTAGAAAAGACTGGAGGCAAAAAGCATCATTATGAACCCAACTGCCAATGACGGCCTGACTGGCGAAAATCCATTGGCCTCGTCAGTACCAACTATAGCTTGAACAATCTTCTGCCACTCCTCTTCCCTGCAAACCCAGCCGCAGCAGCATACATAGGATAACTTAGCACCATGCGGAAAACTTTTACGTATGATAGAGACAGTAAGAAAAAACTGCCGATGCAAATTGGGTCCTATGAAGCCAAGCCCGCGGCCTTGGGGTGTGTCCCCACTTGAATGGAGGTTCTTCATCGTTCAGGGCCTTTGGGTTCGTTAAGCAGATAACGGCAGTAGAAGGTTTCTCCCCATCTGCAAGTCTCCTTAATGTTGGCCCGCTGTGCCTTTTTGAGAGTTCTGCGGCAGCAATCTCGTTTGCTGTTGTGCAGGTGACAAAGGCACAGCTGGCTACAGGATTTGTCTTGGGGTTATAAAGGGCGACGAAGGAAACAGCTTTGTCGGTGTACACCGCAGGGGTGTCTGACACTGTGTACGTTGGGGGCAATTTGTTTTCGAAGAGCGAAAACCCGTCCTTCCAGTACTGCACTGCCGCTGTGCAGTCATTCTCGCCAGGGTAGTACGCGAAGGTTCCTTTCAACTTTTTGGCTTCAGTCCCTTCGGTATCAGTCTTCACATAGTAGCATAAAAATCAAAGCAAACGTCGCATATCTTCATACCCGCGCCGTGGCCTGCAAGACATTTTCAGGCTAAGTGTACCCGAACTGGCGACAGCAATGCGCTCATGGCACGGCTTACGCCTGCAATTTTTTTGCAGATTTCCGTCCACAAGTCAGCAGCAGTTATGGTAGTTTTGCCGGCAGCATGTTTCGGCAGCACTTGATCTTGTTCAGTCGCCACCTTAAATTCAGCGAGTCCCGCGGCTGTCCTCGCCTCATTCATCGCGGCTAAACAATCAACCGTTTCTGAGAGAGAAATCCAACAAAAAAAAGGAACGCCGTGAAAGAAAAAAAAACTTCAGCTTGATACATAAGAAATGTTGGGTCAAGTTGAGGAAAAGACAGCAGCAGTTCGCTTACCTGCTGTTCCAGTTATTGAAGCACTTACTGCCTTGTGTCCACATAACACAGCCACAACCGCGAGGGCAATAAAAGTGAGACGAATCATGTTCGATCAAAAACAAATAGTAGTCAAAAACAGGGTCAAGGAAACAAATTATGCAAGGAATTGGTGAACGTTGTTTCCTTCTCGTCAAAGGTGCAAGCAGGAGATATCTATGGGCTGCATTGGAGCGACCGGGCTTGTTGGTAACATCCTCTTCCTTTCTTCATCTCCACTTTCAGACCCATTCACGCCAAGCGGAAAGTATATCTTGTTTTTTCGGCAACTGTGCTCTTCATGGCTTTAGCTTGCGTGATCTCCACCGCGTGCCTTAAAGGTTCTGTTGATCTGGGTCACTGCATGATCGCAAGGATCTGCAGCACCGAGAATACGTCCAAAGCACAAAACAGTTTTCCGCTGAAACCTCTGCCTATTCTGTGCAGCTGCAAATTGTGTGCTTATTTCTGTTGACGCACTAGAGAGCACTCCCCAGCAGCACGCGTGCTCGTCAATAGCACGTTACAACGCCGGCCTGTTACGTTCGTGCATGCGCAAATGTTAGCAAAGATATTTCTAGAAACATGTTCATACCTCTAACAAGACAATAAAAATTGCCGTGAGACGAGAAGAAATTATCATTTGATTGTTCCCCAGTAGGTGGCACTGCTGCTGGTGCTGCGGTTCACCTGCTGCTGCTGCTGCTGCTGCTTCTTCATCTGCCGCACTGCTACTGCTGCTGCTCTTCTTCACCTGCTGCTGCTGCGGTTCACGTGCCGCTGCTGCTGCTGCCGCCTCACCTGCCGCCCCGCCGCTGCTGCTGCTGCTGTTGCTGCTGCAGGTCGTACCCGCTGCAGCTGTGGGCTTGCTGCACTGCAGCAGCAGGGGCCTCGGTAGCAGCAGCAGCAGACCGCGGGTTGGGGGTGGCCCCCGTGGTGGAGCTGAGGGGCCCCTGGCGACGACCCGTCGAACCTCAAAATGTGAGGAAATTGAAACAGAGTATTTCTCTGCACGAGTGCATTCAAAGTGTCTTCAATGCGCTCCAATTAAACGCTTTCTTGAGAATAGGGTACAAATGCATGCCATAGGTTACGCCTGCCGCTTCAAAGTAGCCTCGTGAAGTGACCTAGTGTGGGGAGGATCAACCTGGCCACACAAGCAGCCACGGCGGACACCACCGGTACACCATCGATATCTCTAGGCGCGCCTTCAGATAGGCACAGCATCGGCAGCGAGCCTCGAGATACTTAGGGCAAGCAGGCATAAGTAAGTCTTGAGAATGTCAAAAATGGATCCTGATAGCGCCTGGCGTGCATCGCCAGCACCTGCTCGTATCACCCCTCTGCAGAGGCTAAAAATCGTTTTTCTTCCGCACTTTTCATTATGGAGGATAAAACGCCAAAAGAAACTCTTGGTCTCACGCGTTTGGCTAATTATTCAGTGAGACGCCCGATGACAAATCTGTCCAGTGCCCGCATACTGCACAGAGGCTAGGAGGTTAAAAAAACCCGTAGGCAAAAAGCATCATTATGAGCCCAACTGCCAATGACGGCCTGACTGGCGAAGCCCCGTTGCTCTCCTCAGTACCAACTATAGCTTGAACAATCTTCTGCCACGCCTCTTCCCTGCAAATCCAGATACCATAATTCACTTATCACTTAGCTCTGTGAGAAAATACTACGTACAAAAGACACAGTCCTGCTTTGATTCTGATGAGCTTTGGGTCCTACGCAGCCAAGTCCTTGGCTTTGGGCTATGCTCCTACTTGAATGGCGGTTCTTCCGCGGTCAGTGCCTCAGGATTCGTCAAGCATATAACGGCTGTAGTAGTATCCCCTTCTTCTTGAAGTCTCCTTATTGACCGGCCTTCGTGGCTTTTCGGCAGGCCTGGGGCAGTAAACTCGGCTGCTGTTGTGCACGTGACGAAGGCGCAGCTGGAAACAGGACTCGCCTGAGGATTATATAAAGCGACAAAGGAAACGGCTTGGTCGGTGTACACTTTCGGGTCATTCAAAGCTTTGAACGTTGGGGGAAGCTGATTATTGAAGAGCGAAAACCCGTCCTTCCAGTACTGCACTGCTGCTTTGCAGTCCTTCTCGCCGCGGTAGTACGCGAAGGTTCCCGTTAACTGCTTGGCCTGGGCGCTGTCGTTTTGTTCCTTCAAGTAATAGAATGAAAAGCAAGACAAAGCCAGAATCCCTTCCTACATGTGTTATAGTCTGCAAGACTTTGCTTGGCGAAGTGTCCCAGGACTCGCGATAGCAGTGCGCCAATGACGCGGCTTACCCCTACTATTATTTGGCAGATTTCGTTCCACAAAGTAGCAGCTGTTATATCTTTAACAGCAGCAGGGTGTTTCGGCAGCACTTGTGCTGTTTCAGTTGCCTCCTTAAGCGCCGTGAGTCCCGCAGCTGCCCTCTCCACGTTCATCTCATTTAAGCAATTGAGCGTTTCTGAACAGAAACCACAACATACACAAACAAAATTGCTGGAAAAAGGTATATAATATACGACATCGCAAAGACGTTGCAAATTGAAGAGTCGTTTTGGGAAGGAGAAGAGCAATATGCCTACCTGCGGTTCCTGTTGTGCCAGCACTAGCTGTCTTGTGTCCATAAAAAACAGGCACGAGAACCAGTGGAATAAAAATAAGACGATGCATTTTCCTAAATGATTGTAAAACACAAAAAAAGATCGAGGAATGACATCTGATGAGGGCTGGTGGACGTTATTTCCCCCTGGGCACTGGACAAATGATCGGGATGGGGACATCTGTGGGCCAGGTTCAGGCTGTTGGGTTTGTTGTTGATGTTTTGTTTTCTCCTTCATCTCCTTTTATGAGATCATTCATGCTAAACAAAGAAATCTGGACAAATTCTAGCAACAGCGCGAGAAACGAATTTCTACCTTTCGCACCACGTGCGTTGCAGGTTCTCCAGGTTGTGCAGTTCTGCGCTGCTGGTTCACGCGTTAAAGATAAGGACCTACGCCACCCAGCACATTCCCAACGAGCAAGTAGTTCGGGATGTAGCTGAGTTGATAAACAACTCAGCTACATCTTCGAACTGCTTGTGTGCCCATTCCTATTACTGCATCGCAGAACAAATAACGTCGTAACGCACGATTTTTCTCAACACTGCGTCGCACTTCAAGCGGTCAAAACTCATGCCGAAACAAGTGTTCACCGAACAATATCTAGAAGCATGTTTCTCTGTTGAAGAAAATGAGATATAGTAAAGCGACAGATGAAGAAACTGTTGATCACGCCTTTCCGCTTGAAATTGGTGTTGCAGTACACTACAACCGTGGTGCCTCGCTGTGAGACGCACCCGAGACAGGATAATTCTCCACGGCATTACGCTCAAATGACTATAATGAATTCCACTTGTGCACTATCTTGACCAGTAAGGACTCAAAAGCTTGCCATGAAACTGGCCTTCCCATTTGAAGTGACCCGGTCTGAGAATGTTCAACCTGTGCAAACCGGCATCCACGGTGTACACAACCACTAGATCTTCGGCATGCCTACACGCTAGGAAGTGGGCAGAGTGTTGAAGTTGGACTGAAAATAGTTGGCTCTAGTACGCATACGTACGGCTGGAGAACATCAAAAATGAAACCTGGCAACACATAGCGTGCATCGCCAGCACCTGCTCGCTACGCCCTTACACAGGGGCTATCAAGAGGTTCATCGTCATCACTCTTCAAGACAAACGATAAAACATTAGGAGACATTATTTGGTTCCCCGCGCTGGATTTTTTTTTTGGAAACAAGCATTGGCATGCCCATTCATTGCCCGCACTCTGCACAGATGCTGACAGCTTAAAAAAGACCATAGGCAAAAAGTATCATTATGAACCCAACTGCCAGTGACTGCCTGACTGGCGAAACCCCGTTGCCCTCCTCAGTACCGACTATGGCTTGAACAATCTTCCGCCACTCATCTTCCCTGCAAATCCATACACAGCACTTGCATTGACCATGTACCTCCATGACACAGTCATGCAATGTTTTCTATTCACTTTGGGTCGTACGCAGCCAAGTCCGTGGCCTTGGGGCGTGCTCCTACTTGAGTGGCGCTTGTTCAGCGGTGCAGTCAGTCCCGCAGCTGTCCTCTCCTCATTCATCTCGCTTAAACAATTAATCGTTTCTGAGGAGAAACGTCAACATACGAAAACAAAATTGTGAGAGAAGGCTGCAGCTAAAATACGAATTGCCAAAAGCGTTGTAGGTTCAGCAGCGCCTTTGAGGAAGATGCGAGCAATATGCTTACCTGCTGTTCCCGTGGTGCCAGCACATTCTGTCTTGTGTCCATAGAACACAGGCACGACGAGTGGGATAAAAACGAGACGAAACATCATTGGTACAAAAAATGTTACAGCGAAAAAAGAAAAACGAATGATGTTTGAAGCGGATCCATGAACGTTACTTCCCTCTGGGCACTGGGCGGATGGTCGGGATGGGGACAGCTGTGGGCAGCGTTCGAGCGGCTGGGTTTGTTGTTGGTGTCTTCATTTTCCTCTTTATCTCCATTTTTGAGATCATTCATGCTAAACGAGAAATTGCGGACAAATTCTAGCAACAGTGCTAGGGGCGGGTTTCTGCCTTTCGTGATTTCCACCGCGTGCGTTGCAGGTTCTGCAGGCTCCGCAGTTCTGCAGTAACGCATCACTGGCTCAAGATAAACACTTACGGCAGCCAGTCCATGCTCAACGCACAGAAACTGTTTTTCTTGAAATGCAACTCACTAATGTCTCTAGAGTTGCTGGCGTGCATGTTCCTATTACTTTATCAGAGAACAAAAGCCATTGCAACGCACGAATTTTTCTAAACACTGTGCTGCACTCCAAGTCATCGAAATTCATCCCTGAACAAGTGTTCATCAAACACTATCTGAAAAGCTGTTTCTTTGTCTACGAAAACGAGAAATGGTAAAGCAAGATATCAGGAAAATATTGATCGGACCTTTCCTCTCCAAATGGGGATTGTAACACCATGGCGCCTTGCTGCGGGACACCGCCAAGATAGGATACTTCTTCACAGCACTACGCTCAAAATGCCTAAAATAATTTTCATTTGTTTATTTTTCCTGGCCAATAAGGAAGGAAAAGCCTGCCATAAAACAAGCCTGCCCATTTGAAGTGACCCGGTCTGAGGATGTTCACCTTGTCCTAGCAGGCAGCCACGGTATAGACTAGCACTAGATCACCGACACAGCTACACACACTAGGACGTAGGCAGAGTGCTGAAGCTAGACCGAAAATAGTTAGCCCTTCTAGGCATGTATATGTCTGGAAAATATCAAAAATGGAACTTGGCAACACATGGCGAGCATCGCCAGCACATGCTCGTGATACCCCTGTGCAGAGGCTCTAAAAAACTTCATCTTCATCACCCTTCAATGCGAACGATTAAAAAGTGAAACAGATGCCTTGGTTTTCTTTGAATAAAAAAGGCATTGACATGCCCATTCAGCGCCCCCTCACTGCACAGAGGCTGACAGCTTAAAAAAGCCCATGGGCAAAAAGCATCATTATGAACCCAACTGCCAATGACGGCCTGACTGGCGAAACCCCGTTGCTCTCCTCAGTACCAACTATAGCTTGAACAATCTTCTGCCACACCTCTTCCCTGCAAATTCAGACGCCACAATGCATTGCTTAGCTCTACGTGAAAAAATACTACGTACAAAAGACAGTCCTGCTATGATTCGGATGCACTTTGGGTCCTATGCAGCCAAGTCCTTGGCTTTGGGCTGTGCCCCTACTTGAATGGCTGTTGTCCCTTCGAGAGTGCCACCGGGTTCGTCAAGCAGATAACGGCAGTAGTAGTAGTAGAGGAAGGAATATCCTCTTCACCTTGAAGCCTCCTTGTTGGGCGCCTTCCGTGCATTTCTAACATGTCTGGGGCAGTAGGCTCGGCTGCTGTTGCGCAGGTGACAAAGGCACAGCTGGCTACGGGACTCGCCTGAGGGTTATAGAGGGCGACAAAGGAAACAGCCTTGTCGCTATAGACTTCAGGATTGCCCGGAGCTGTGTACGTTGGAGGGAGCTCGTTTTTGAAGAGAGAAAACCCGTCCTTCCAGTACTGCACTGCTGCTTTGCAGTTATTCTCGCCGCGGTAGTACGCGAAGGTTCCCTTTAATTTCTTGGCTTCTTCGCTTTCCTCTGCTTCCTTCACATAATATAATGAAAAGCCAAACGAACGCAACATCTCTTTCTACCTGCACCGTAGTCTGCAAGATTTTGGCTGGCTAAGTGTCCCAAAACTCGCGATAGCAGTACGCCCACAAGGCGGCTTACCTTTGTTATTATTTGGCAGATTTGGTTCCACAAAGTAGCAGCTGTTATCGTTCTTCCAGCACCATCGTGTTTCGGCAGCACTTGTGCTCCATCAGTTGCCCCCTCAAACGCAGGGAGTCCCGCAGCCGCCCTTTCCTCATTCATCTCGTTTAAGCAATTGATCGTTTCTGAGGATAAACGTCAACATATACAAACAAAATTATGAGAAAAAAGGCAGCTAAAATACGAAATACCAAGCCTATTTTGGGTTCAACTGCGTTTTGGGGAAGATGAGAGCAATATCCCTACGTGCTGTTCCCGTTGTGTCGGCACTTGCTGTCTTGTGTCCATAGAACACAGGCACGAGAACAAGTGGAATAAAAATGAGACGAACCATCTTCGGTACAAAGGATTATAGAGAAAAACAGAACAAGGAATAATATCTGAAAGGGGTTGTTGACCCGTTATATCCCGCTGGACACTGGACGAATGGTCGGGATGGGGACATCTGTGGGCCGGGTTCGAGCGGCTGGGATCGTTGCTTGTGGCATTATTTTCTCCTTCACCTCCATTTTTGAGTGCATTCATCTTAAACTAAAAATTGTGAATAAATTCTAGTAAGAGCGCTAGGGGCAGATTTCTGCCTTTCAAGATCTCTATCACGTGCGCTGCAGGTTCTGCAGTTCTGTTGTAGCGAACAGCTGTCTACACTGTTACTACGTAATGTCCCTTGGCAAGTCCGACTCGGCGGTCACTCGGCACAGTCGGTCAAAGGTACCTGACTATAGTCAACAACTATGGAATACCTTGATTAACCTCGTACAATTGAGTTCATATTATTATGAACCCTTATGCCCTAAGATATTTAATATTATTCATGCTTTTCGCGTTAGTAAGTCTCGGGTGTAGCGACGAAGGTCAATTGTAGTGCCCGGCACTACAACTTCCCCCCTGCTAACGAGCCGAAACCGCTTGGCTGTTTTATTTATTATTATTTTTTTTTTGATCCCGGCCTTTCTTCTGCACATTCTCTCCGTTCATCCCGCTTCACGACAACCTCGGGACGTCCCGCACGTCAGGGATGTATGCCCTTGGCTAACACGTCAAGCCGGTCGACCTTCTTTGACTAGGAATTAGGTCTGTCTTCTCGGGTCTCGGCAGGTGCGGAGGCGGAATCATTCTCCGACCACTCTTACTCCTTACCCAGCCCCTCAACTCGTAGAGGTCGGTGTCGTCGGCGTCCTATAGTCCCCCAGCAGTCGTCCAGCCCCCCCTTAGCCTGATGCTGGTTCGATAGTCCCTAGAACGCGAACAGCTGGTAGAGTCTTGGATTGTAGGGTGCTCCAGCACCCGTTCCCCCCCTTTCCGGACGAGAACGGGCGGCGAACGTGTGAAAGTAGGAAGGACGAGAGCAGCGGGAAGAGAAGAAGAAGAAGTATATCGTCGTCAGGATGGAAGGCGTCTGCGCTGGCGGCGTCGCCAAGCCCGAAGTAAGGCGGGACACCCTGCCAAATGGTGTGCGGGTTCCCATGTGGCCCGTTCCTCGGGGGCGCCCCTCCACTTAACAAGATATTGTGCCTCCTCTCCAGTCCCTCTTTGGTCCATGATATAGTCGACAAGATACTGGTCCGTAGGGTTGCCGGCGTCGTCGCGTGTTGGAGGCCAGCCCACTGGAGCTTCGCGTGGAACCAAAGCGGGATCACGGGGTTGATGGGGAACCAATTGTGAAACATGGAA